AAGAGGGTCAGAGACACAGGGATTTCTTGACTGCAAAGCATTTGCAGCACTGTCTACCCTCTCCTATTTGGATCTGACCACAGGGGGCATAAATAATCATCTTCTCTCTCTAGCCTTACTTATGCAAGCAGTAACTTGAAATGGCCTCAGTCCTGGGAATATTAATCCAGACCCTCCCACAAGATGCGACTTAATTGCCCAATGACAAAGGTGTATTACTGCCTCCTGATATGATTAGGGACAATGGAAATGTACATTTTCCAAAGCTATTTATGCCCCTCAGTCATCTCTACTAGCATACACAACTCTATGAAGAAATCTGGGACATTTCCCAAACTGAGACCTTGTTAAAAGGAATCATTTCAGCACTTGTCAGTTACCTCCTAGGAATCTAAGGTATTTCTATTGATTCTGTTTTCCACCCAATGAAATTCAATTCTCTTCTTTTAAATGTACTTCCATTTACCCCATGCCATTGTGTTATCATCCTTTTACCTGGTAGAACAACTCCAACCATAAATATTTCCACCATGCTCATTAACAGAGTAGCCAACTTAGATACTAGTGTAGGATGCTGGAACTTTCACAGGCACTGCTCAGAAGAAACCACTGGAAAACCAAAGCCAATGCATGACCCCTCTGTTTGAAAGCCACCTTCACTCCTCAAGAGGAAAGCACACCCAAGCCATCTGAGGCCAGAAGGAATAGACACCTTATCCTTCCATGAACGATCTTAACCATCACAGCATGTGTGGGTGTGAGCACCAGTCACAGGTGAGTGCTGGATAATGAGACACACCTTCTTTGCTCAAATCAATCCATCATGTCCAGGTGGTCAGTCAAGTCCCTTCACTGTGGCTAGGACTGTCAAAGGTGCAAAAAAGCACCACAACTTTAGGGTCACTGACACTAGTTCTTTTCTCCAGTATCTATGGGGAGTCACTTGGTTTCCTAGATGAATTGTTCTTTGGCTACTGATGACATTTTAAAAAAAAAAAAAAAAAAAAAAACCTCAATAAAAATGACATACTTATATCAAGAATGATTCTTCGCCCTACACAGATGTTGACTTCTGGTGGTGTCATAGGAAAACCCTCACTCCCACCACTGATATTTGCTTTTCTCTTCCTGTAAAATTTGTTCATAAAACATGATTTGCCGAAAAATTTAAGTCATATAAATAGCACTACTCCTTTACCCAGTGTTCACAAGAAGAAGCACAGAGTTTTAAAAGCTGCTTAAAGGAGATCACCTAGGCCAAATACCTTCATTTCTGCTTTGTAACCATGCTCGTATATATAAGAGCATCAACTTTATTGAGTCAGCCACCACCATAGTTGCTTTATGTCCATTATCTCTCATCTCACAGTAATGTCATTGG